TTTTGTTTATTTTTATATCAGTATTTCAGATGATTCTATTATTTGGAAAAAGCGGAAAGCATGTTGAAGCTTTGGACTTGGTCATAAAGAAATATAATCAACTGGACAAGGCCATCGAATATTGCCAAGGTTAGAGCTTTAGTAGGTTTCTTTTTGTTTTGATTATTTCTAGAGGCATAGTTTGAATTTCTTACAGAACATGACGACACTGACCTATGGGCACGGTTGATTGAAGAGGTTATTGAAACACCCGCCCACATAGCGTATTTACTAAACCATGCTGGAAGTAGTATCGATCCTCTTCACGTTATTGAAAAGGTAGGTATCACTAGAATGTTTTAGTGCATTGCTATCATAATTATCTCTGTGGAATCGCCGACCATTCTTTCCCCGTTGATCTCCCTTTCATCGGAGTCATTAGCCATCTTACTTCAGATCCCTCCAACAATGCCTGTTCCTGGACTGCGTGATGCTCTCGCCAAAGTCCTACGCGACTATGCCGCCAAAGTCGCGCTGCAGTGCGGTTGTCAAGAGGCGACTCGTGGAGATGTTCGTGAGCTCTTGACGCAACACTTGCAAACTCAGGCTTTGCCAGTATACTTCACTTTGGAAACTCACTGTTCTATGTGTGGGTAAGTGTATAGCGAGTTTGCTTAGTTCACTGAGGAAAGGTTTTTTAAAGGAAAAAGTTGGTGATGTGCGCAGACCCGCGGGGTGCTGAGCTTCGGATGTTCGGTTGTGGACATGCTGCGCATCTATCTTGCTGTTTAGAGGTTGGTTGCTGCTTGATACTACCTGCTAATATATTGCGAAAAACCAGCGTCAAAAAATAACGATTTAAAGCTTGCTCCAAATGAAAAACAAGAGAATTAAATGTTTTTTAAGAAGTTTACTTGTAAATACTATGTCGGAAGTTGTCCCTAGTTACATTATTTCAATTTTTTTGTTTCTTCCTTTTATTGTTCCTTTCTTCTTAATCTTTTTAAAATCTTAATATTATGTACGTAGACAAAAAACGATGCAAAAAGGTCTATAAAACAAGGTAATAAACGAAAAATGCTGGCTCAGTTTTGGGAAACCCATAAAACCAGATCAAGCGCAACGAAATCTTCATCCCTCTCTCCCTCTTCCCACATTACATATCTGATATATCAATTTTTGTGCTCATACTATGCATAATTGTGAG